GTGCTATCTGGAGATCTCGCTAAGATCCTGAGCCAGGCACCAGAAAAACGTCTAAACCTGGCCACCAATATGAAGATTCCAGCACACGTTGTACGCAGTGGGGCGGCTTCCTTGACACCTGGTGCCACGCTGCCTAGTTGGGGGTCGGTATTGCTGCTCTTCATGGAGGCTGCCCCCAAATTTACAGAGAAGCTACTACGTGCCGCCGAGAAAGCCGCAGGTGAGACATGGGTAAATGTCCTGCAGCAAAATGCTGCCATGTCGTGTGCAGCGCTACACGTAGTGCACACATGCCAAGCTGTGTGTTGCGTTGCAACCCATGCTCCTGCCCCACCACGATGACCCTTTGCAGGGATCAAAGAAGGGGGCTTGGAGAAGCTGTTTTACGCCAAGATGGCGGCACACGCGAGCACCGTACGTCGGGACGATGGTGGTGGTTTACCAACCGCTACAGCCATCAAGGGTAGGACTGCGATACGAATTCCCGGACTGGAGTACAGTTTTGCACCGGCCTCGAATAATATGGCAGAGGGAGGGAATGCATCAACGGGGTTTGAGTGGGGAGGGGCACGGCGGGGAGCTACATACCAGGCCCAGCTACAAGCAGCCGCCACGAGTTTAGGTGGCCGGTCCCGTGGGGTCACGTCCCCCCCTGTCATACCGCGAATCACCACTCGCTTAGGAGCTCTGCGTCCACGGGCACTAGATACGGAGGAACAGCAAGACGCGGCCGAAGATCCGTTAATAACAGATCCACAAGCAGAGGGGATAGGAGGGACTAACGCAGTTCATACGGAGGCTGCCACGGGGGCGCACGGAGTTGGAATGGATACGCAATGGCCCTCACGAACAGAATTGCCTATGGAGGGGGAGGTTAGCTGGTTTGTGGTGGAACATGGTGGCCAGGAGACCAGTGGGGCAGGGGCTGGTTGCTGTCCGTCCATTCCGGTGGTGGTGGGGGTTGGTGCACCAGCTGGACTCGGTGTGAACCGGGAGGGGCGCCAGGTGGAGGTGGAAGAGGGGTTGGGAGTGGCTTTCGAGGGGGGCAGCACGAGCGGGCTTGCATGCTTGGGTGTTCCTGTTGCACCATCGAGCTGTAGCACGAACGGGGAATCGTCCATGGATCACCATGGAGTGGATGCACCTGCATCGGCATCAGCGCCGAGGGCGGCCCCGGCACTTCACCCAGACATGGGGGCAAGGTAGGACAAAAAAATCCCCCACTTTTTCCTTTGGTTTATTGGTGTGTGGTACAATTTCATTCCACCCACCTGCCCTGCCAACATTCCCCCCTACCCACTCTCCCCCTCTCCCCTTGTCCCGTCTCCCCAACCCTACACCCCCCCTTCCCTTTGATGTGGTGGCAGACTGAGTACAGTAGCCCTGCCACGGCACCAATTCCACTCACCAGCACCCCGCGGCTGGCCCAAGCGACCAGCCACAAATGCAATCGGTGAGGGAACAGTCTGCTACCTTGAGACAGCATGGTTCGTAGAACTGGTTGAGCGGTTTGCCATGTACTGCACCGCTGGTGAGGCATGTGGTGGTACCATGCGCCTCCAATCATCTAGGAATGCATGGGGGACTCTAGGCATGCTGTGGAGGTGCTTGAAATGCAATCGCACGGAGGTGTGGTGGACATGTAACCGTGAAGTAGAGGAAAACAGAAAGGGGAAAAAGGGTCCAAAAATGCTGTGGTTGACCAAAACGGTATTGGGGGCCTACCAGATAACAGGGACGGGGTACACGACCATGTGGCAGGTCTCGCGTAACATAGGCCTGTCCATTCCAGCGAAGGAAACGTTCTACAGTTACATGCGTGGGCCTCTAGGTCTGTGGGCGAGAATAGTTAAGCAATGGGAGAAGTCGATGTCTAGAGTACGGGCAGAGATGATGTCGAGGGATCCACAGGGTTCGTGGATTGCAGTGGATGGCAGATGGTCTCAATCCAGGGAGGGAGAATGGTGTACGGTGTCATTTATGGACGTGGTTACAAAAAAAGTATTGCACTGCGTTACAATCAACAAGTGGCGGCATGGAGTGTCCTCCACCGGAATGGAGAAGGTGGCCTTCCTCAAAGGGATGGCAGAGTTGATGGCGGTGGGATTTGTGGTGAAGGGTGTGATTACGGATGGAGGAAATAACTTCCGCAAGGCTGTGGCTGAGCTCAAGCTTGAGCATCAGATGGATGTCTGGCACATGGCTAGGACTCTTATCAAGGAGTTAGTGAGGGAGTTAGTGGATGCCAAAAAGGAGGCTCACATGAAGGTGAAAAATGCTTGCACTATCGATGATTTGTGGCACATCAAGAAGGTGCACTTGCTGTCCTGGCTTGAGAAGAAAGGGAAGAAGGGTTCCTTGTCTTTAAGCATGACAAGGGAGGTACTAGTGAAGACGGTGTGTCGTTGGCATGGACGCATCACTTACGCGAAGCGCGACCACTACGGATCGAGCTTCAAATTCCCGGAGTTGCAGAAGGTGGTGGTGCGCATGACGGGGAGCGATGGTGGTGGGGGCGAAATAGCTGCTGCACTGCATTCTCTGGATGATGCGGCAGGCGAGGCACGGCCGCAGAGCGCGGAGGAGGTGGCCACGGGGTCCCCTCTCGTATTTGCTGACGTGGCATCCATGTTTGCGTGGGATCCCCACTCACAGCGTGGCATTCGCCCGTCTTCTTATGCATCGCTGCTGCTGGCACAAAGTGCAGCCGGTCGGCCGGATGAGGTAGCGGAACGAGAAGGGCAGCGCCGCAGATGGACCGATGCAGGTGAGTCTCCAACTAACATGTGGCCATGTTTGGCTGAACAACGCCTTCGTTATTTCCTTATACTCGGTTTTTTAGCTCGACACCTCGCTTTGCCGATTTCAGATGAGATGGCAGCTGCGCAGGAGGAAATCTCAGACTTGCAGCGACGAGGATGGTGGGATGGTGAAGGAGGGGCGGAAGATGAGGACGAGCAAGTGGTGGACTCGGGGGGGGAAGGGGGTACTACTGCAAAGAGGTGGGGGAAACGTGGTAAACGGAGACGTGGGTCGGCTGCCGCACCAGTTCTAGCAGAGGTGGACGATGCCCCCACAGAAGTCGTGGATGAAGTGGGTGTCTCACAGCGGTTTAGCATCCACTTTCATCATGTAATGATGAGATGCGCTACAATGGCAGCGGCTGGAAAAACTGTGTCAGCTCAGGATGTGGCCGATGAGATCGCCATATGTGCCGAGCATTGGGCGGGCGACCATTCGAGATGCGAGCGTCATGGGGTTGTCCCGAGGTGTGTCGCGGACAAGTGGGGTGATGAGAGTGCCATTTACATGCGGGAGGGACGGACGCATTGTGCTTTCCGTGCATGGTTGCAAGTGCACTGCAATGCGGAAAAGATGGCGCCCTTTGTTCTTGGTGCATCGAGCTGGTTGAATGAGTCCTTTCACTCACTTATATGCAAGTATGCACCCAAGCGCATAAGATTCCAGGGTAGCATGGAGGCACGAATTGCGCTTTCAGTCATTCATTGGAATAACACTGTGGAGAGGGAGGTCAAACGCCACATCACGCGGCTACGGCGGGTAACAAGGGTGAAGCGAGGGCGTCGGGACCGCATCCTCGGTCCCATGAATTGGCAGTGGGCAGATGACATTCTGCAAGATTGGAGGGAGTCCCGTGGCGAGGTCCCGCAATCCTTTACGGTCCGAGCTGCCTGGAGCACCATCAGCCGCCGCACGGTGAGCGGAGCCCACACTGCTTTGTGGTAGTGGGTCATTGGCGGATTGCTGTTTGAAGGTGGAATTTAGAGGGGCCCAGGGGTTTTTCAGAAAGCCAGTCATTGATAAGTTATCGTTCTCTAACCCCCGCTGCGCCGTTGTCCCATGCCGTCCCTTAGCCGAACAGAGGGCAGCCATGAGAAGGCCTTTTGTCACACCTCGTGTTGCTAGCACGGACCCCCCCCACCCACACGTGGGCTAGTAAGGACAGCATCGGCCTTCGTACACCATGTAAGCAACCCATCCCCTAGCATCAGCTTCACCTTTTGCTGGTGTTTTGCCTTTCTGTATGGATATGCGAATGGGGGCTGGTTTGCCTAGTGCCACATGCTTGTTAATTGCTGCAATTCTGCCTCTTTCTATGGGTGTGATCACCCTTTTCCAGCTCCATATTTTGCTACAGTGTTGCCGCCATGCCGTCCACATTTCCCTGTCCCTTTTCTCCATGCCGTCCACATTTCCCTGTCCCTTTTCTCCATGCCGTCCACATTTCCCCGTCCCTTTTCTCCATGCCGTCCACATTTCCCTGTCCCTTTTTCTCCATGCCGTCCCCCCCATTTCCCTGTCCCTTTTCTCCATGCCGTCCCCCCCATTCCCCTGCCCCTAACTTCCTGCCTCCACTCTCCCTGCCTTCCCCCTTTCCCTGCCCACTTCCTCCTTGCCTTCCACATTCGATTGCACCCATACGCTAACTTTTCTCCTGCCCCCTCCATCCTCACTGTGAGGCCTGCAGGTGGATGCATCCATGCCTCACGGCCGTTTGCCGCTGTTTGGATTAATGACGTAATGGTTACCCTATTGTCCTCGACACTTGGCGGTTGCTTCTTGAGACATGCACACAAATCTACGTTGCTGACGTGATGAGGATTTCCATATATACTGTCATTCCACTGACTCTAGGACAGTACTAATTGCTGGTCGGGCACCTGATAGGGATGGCGTGTTATGGACACCAAGTGCGGCTTGTTCTGCCTCATTCTGGCTACCATTAGGGGCTCGTGTGCATAGCACCACACCCCTGCGGGCATGCACCTAGTGGAGTGGGGATGTGCCGCTGCCAGCGGCCTTGACCCAATGTCGAGTACAATTGCAGTGCCTAATAATTTATAATACAAGTTCGTGCTTTGACAATAATATGCACTGTTATTTAGCCCCCCTTATTTTCCAGCCTACAGCAGACACCCCCATCCCTTGTTTTGTCAACCACTTAGGCAAATACCGTGTCACACGTTGACCTCCAGCAGTTGTCACCGTCACCATACACACGCCGACCCTGCAACCTCGTCCCTGTCCCCTTTCTCCCTATCACCCATCCATCATGTATCGGGGTCAACCACCTCTATATGCCTCCTGCTTTTCAGGAGGTGAGCCTTCAGGCAACCACCCGGCCCGTCGAGGTGGTGCTGCCAGCTCCGAGGGTGGTCGGTGCAGTACCCTTGCCACTTCGTATATCTCTCCTAGCACTGCTGCTCGGACACCTTCTGCTCCCCCAGGTACATCGGCGGCCAGGTTGCCTGTCTGTTGATGTCTGGCCATTCTGCCCATTACGTGATGGACAGCTAAAGCGTACACGTTCTGGGAGGGCTGCGCCATATGGCTCCACCTGCAATCTGGAGGGCACTCCAGGGAAAGCAGTGGGCGTATTGGAGGTGAATGGGAGAGATGGACCGTATGGGAGGGGGGAACATAGGGGAGGGAGGGTGAACTCTCCTACCACTACTGCCCGCTCCCACTCCCTATCTCCCTCTCGTCCCCATCCCCCTGACCCAATCTTCCTGCCACCACACTCCCTCCTTCCCCCTTTCCCTGTCCCCTCACTCCCTGCCCTCCACATTCCCCTGTCCAGCTTCTCCCTGCCGTCCCCATTCCTCTGCCCATATCTCCCTGTCTCCCCCATTCCCCTGCCCCTGTACTCCCTGCCCTCCACATTCCCCTGCCCCTATCTCCCTGTCGTCACCATCTCCCTGACCCAATCTTTCTGCCAACACTCTCCCTGCCTTCCGCCTTTCCCTGTCCCCTTTCTCCCTGCCCTCCACATTTCCCTTCATTCCGCCCTCTCTCCTCTGCATTCCGCCTTCTCCCCCCTTCATTCCGCCTTCTCTCCCCATCATTCCGCCATCTCTCCCCTTCATTCAGCGTTCTCTCCCCTTTCGCCCGCCTTCTCTCCCCCTCATTCCGCCTTCTCCCCCCTTCATTCTGCCTTCTCTCCCCTTCGTTCCGCCTTCTGTCCCCTGCATTCCGTCTTCTCTCCTCATCATTCCGCCTTCTCTCCCCATCATTCCGCCTGCTCTCCCCTTCATTCGGCGTTCTCTCCCCTTTCGCCCGCCTTCTTTCCCCCTCATTCCGCCTTCTCCCCCCCTCATTCCGCCCTCTTTCCCCTGCATTCCGCCTTCTCCCCCCTTCATTCCGCCATCTCTCCCCTTCATTCCGCCTTCTCTCCTATGCATTCCGCCTTCTCCCCCCTTCATTCCGCCATCTCTCCCCTTCATTCCGCCTTCTCTCCTATGCATTCCGCCTTCTCCCCCCTTCATTCCGCCATCTCTCCCCTTCATTCCGCCTTCTCTCCTATGCATTCCGCCTTCTCCCCCCTTCATTCCGCCATCTCTCCCCTTCATTCCGCCTTCTCTCCTATGCATTCCGCCTTCTCCCCCCTTCATTCCGCCTTCTCCCCCCTTCATTCCGCCCTATTTCCCCTTCATTCCGCCTTCTCCCCCCTTCATTCCGCCCTCTTTCCCCTTCATTCCGCCTTCTCCCCCCTTCATTCCGCCTTCCCTCCCCTTCGCACGCCTTCTTTCCCCTTCATTCCGCCCTCTTTCCCCTTCATTCCGCCCTCTCTCCTCTGCATTCCGCCTTCTCTCCCCATCATTCCGCCTGCTCTCCCCTTCATTCGGCGTTCTCTCCCCTTTCGCCCGACTTCTTTCCCCCTCATTCCGCCTTCTTTCCCCTTCATTCCGCCTTCTCCCCCCCTCATTCCGCCCTCTTTCCCCTGCATTCCGCCTTCTCCCCCCTTCATTCCGCCATCTCTCCCCTTCATTCCGCCTTCTCTCCCCTTCATTTCGCCTTCTTTCCCCTTCATTCCGCCTTCTCCCCCCTTCATTCCGCCATCTCTCCCCTTCATTCCGCCTTCTCTCCCCTTCATTTCGCCTTCTTTCCCCTTCATTCCGCCTTCTCCCCCCTTCATTCCGCCCTATTTCCCCTCGCCTCTTTCCCCTATCTGCGCTCCCGTCTCTCCTTGCACGTTCGCCTAATTTTCCCATTCTTACCACGTGTCTCACACATTCCGCGCACCTCTTACCCCCATCCCTCCCCGCCCATTCTACACCTTCCCCCTTTTCCCCCCGTAAGAGGGTATTACGTGTGTACACCTAGGCCTTTCCACCTTGCCTATAGCGTTTTTGCCTCTACGTGCCGCCGCTGTTGCACGGCACAGTATTTTTTGTGCGATAAAAAATGTCATACACATAAGGGGGTCTGCTCTTGCCCGTTCGCGCACCGATTTTTTTTTTCAGACTAAGGAAAAGGCTGGGGAGCTGGGCTCAGCTAGCGTAGGTGCCGGGTTCTCCTACGTCTGAGAAGCAATAGCACACCCGGGGCTCACTTGAAACACCGCCCTGGTGACAGGTGTTCGCATGGACTTTGTTTTGGTAGAGCCTTACGACCCTCGAGATTGTCGCGGCGTGTTTCCCTGATGAGTTACGACTGCTCTATTTCGTTAGCCAATGGTTGCGCGCTGCAAAATCGCAGCATCTGCCTTTTCGCGTCCGGGTAGGTGTACCACTGCAAATCGGGTTCTTTTCTCTGACCCTAAAAAAACTAATAATTCAAGTGCGCCCCCCCTTCGCTATTCTAGCCTGTGGTTTTAAATGGTTTTTTTCACATTCGTGAAAGTGTGTGATTGGTTAACGAAATCGCTCAGGCGAGTCGTCATAATTTCGTTACGTTAAGCCCTTTTCGTGAGACCACGAAAAGGGTTTTTCGAATTATATGATTTGCGCGTTTTGAGCCTGCGCTGCTTGCGGAAGGTCGAGAACGAGGTGTTACTTCTATTGTCCGCGGTAATTTGGACCAAACGACAAATTTGCTGAACGTTTTTTAAGAAGCCACATGAGCCCTCACATGACACGAGGCGAAGTCGCTGGTAACCTGGCCCAAGGGCCAATACGCCAAGGCACCCATCGTGAACACAAAGAGTAAAACGGCCTACGCCACCCCACCTAAAACCGTACGTGCTACTCGACAATCCATTTTGCCCGTAGTGAACCGCTCTTATTCGTCGTAGTCCATATTTGCGAGTCGCGGATTTGGGGCATAGAGTATAGCCTCTGTACATCTTCCACCCCCCGTCTTGACAGCCTGTATTTTGACCACTCGTGATCAAACTGTCAACTTATACATATTAGCTATGTAGAAGTTATAGGCTAGACTCAGGTATGCTTCTAGTGAGTACAACCAACTAGTATTTGTTCTAGGTTTCCCCTTCTAGGAATTCATTCGTTCTCACCTTAACATGGTATCACGCGTAGGTTAGCATCCCCCACCTACCGCTTCCGCCCGTACCCTAGCTAGGCCCGTCGCGCCTCCTAGCCCCGTCGCGCCTCCTAGCCACGTCGCGCCCCTCCTGGGCCCCGTCGCGCCTCCTAGCCCTGTCGCGCCCCCCCTGGGCGCCGTCGCGCCACCCTAGCCCCGTCGCGCCCCTCCTGGGCCCCGTCGCGCCTCCTAGCCTTGTCGCGCCCCTCCCGGGCCCCGTCGCGCCACCCTAGCCCCGTCGCGCCCATTCCGGGACCCGCCGCGCCCCCTAGCCCCGTCGCTCTCCTCCTGGGCCCCGTCGCGCCTCCTAGCCCTGTCGCGCCCCTCCTGGGCTCCGTCGCGCCACCCTAGCCCCGTCGCGCCCCTCCTGGGCCCCGTCGCACCTCCTAGCCTTGTCGCGCCCCTTCTGGGCCCCGTTGCGCCACCCTAGCCCCGTCGCGCCCATCCTGGGCCCCGTCGCGCCCCCTAGCCCAGTCGCGCCCCTCCTGGGCCCAGTCGCGCCTCCTAGCCCTGTCGCGCCCCTCCTGGGCCCAGTCACGCCCCCCCTAGCCCCGTCGCGCCCCTCCTGGGCCCCGTCACGCCTCCTGGTCCCCGTCGCGCCTCCTAGTGCCCCTCCTGGGCCTCGTCGCGCCCTGCCTGGCCCCGCCGCGCCTGCCTGGCCTCGCCGCACCTGCCTGGCCCTGACGCGCCTGCCTGGCGCCGTCGCGCCCTGCCTGGCCCCGTCGCGCCTTCCTGGCCTCGCCGCTCCTCCCTGGTCCTGCCGCTCCTGCCTGGCCCCGCCGCGCCTGCCTGGCCCCGCCGCGCCTGCCTGGCCCTGACGCGCCTGCCTGGCCCCGTCGCGCCCTGCCTGGCCCCGTCGCGCCTTCTTGGCCCCGTCGCGCCTGCCTGGCCCCGCCGCGCCTGCCTGGCCCCGCCGCGCCTGCCTGGCCCCGCCGCGCCTGCCTGGCCCCGCCGCGCCTGCCTGGCCCCGCCGTGCCTGCCTGGCCCTGCCGCGCCTGCGTGGCCCCGTCGCGCCTGCCTGGCCCCGCCGCGCCTGCCTGGCCCCGCCGCGCCCGCCTGGCCCCGCCAACACCTCCCTGGCCCCACCGCACCTGCCTGGCCCCTTCGCCCCGACTCGTCCTGCCGTGCCGCCTCGGGCTCCGTCTCCTCTGCTCGCCCGTGCTGAGGCGCTTCGCGGCCGCCATGCTGGAGGAGGCTGTCGCCGTGTTCCTGCGTCGCTGTGTTCCTGTGGAGCTGTGCCGCAGACCCTGCACGATGGCTGACTTCGTGCTCCGACTGGACGCCGAGGGCCATGCGGTTGACTTCGCCGCCTGGCTCTCCGATCTCCGCCGCCACCTTACAGGTCAGCTCCAGGATGGCCACTCTTTGGTTGTCCATGTCGACGGCTTGCTCCCCCGCCCCCCCGCACCTGATCCCCTCCCTACTGACCCCTCCTCTGATGACCGTGAGACCTTCTCTACTGCTGCGCTTGCCCGTGCGGTCTGGGACTCCCGCGATGCAGTAGCTCAGGTTGCTATTAGCCACGCCCTCCCTGTCTCTGAGCGCTCGCGTTTTGCTACTATTGAGACGGCCAAAGCTTACTTAGACGCTGTTATTGATCGCTATTCCAGACCCGCGTCTGCTTCTACTGGTCGCCTGCTCTTCCCTATGCTTTTCCCAGACCTTGCAGCCTTCCCTACCGTCGCAGACTTAGCCACTCACAAGCGTGCTCTAGAGACCCGCTATCGCACTGCCAGCACTGCAGCCCAGCTCACTGCGCTCCCCCCCCCTTTCTGCATGACGCTCTATATTATCGCCATGCTCCTGCCAGACCGCCTCGCTAGTGCTCGCGATCACTTCCTCAGCCAGCACCCGGGTGACCTCACCCTCACTGCCTTTGTCGATACCCTCACAGAGATCGAGACTCGCCAGCGCACTATCGCTCAGTCGAGCGGTGCGCCGGTAGTCTCTATCTTTCACGGTTGTGCCCCCTCCCAGTGTACGTTCACTGACGTTTCGGCTGCGGTCGCCTCAGCGGCCCCTCTCATCGAGACGGCTGCTGCGGTCCACGCGCAGCAGCGCCCCGCGCCGCGGTGGCCGTGGTCGCCAGGGAGGTAGGGGTGGTGGCGCAGGTGGTGGTGGTGGCGGTAGTGGTGGTGACGGTAGTCCGCCTGCGGGGACTACCACTGGTGGGCAGGAGCAGCAGCCCCAGCCGCAGCAGGAGCAGCCCCAGCCGCAGCCGCCGCCCCAGCAGCAGCCGCCGTCCCAGCAGCAGTCGCCGCAGCCGTGGGCCCGTCTCCCGCCTGGCTGGCCCGGCACCTCCGGAGGTAGTGGCCGTGGTGGCGGCCCGCGCAGCTTGGCGTCTACTGGCGGCTCCGGTGCTGTCACCTGCCAGTACTAGCTTCAGACCGGGCCTCTTCGCGGCACCCTGTGCCGCCGCCCGCACCCGACCGCCCGCTGTTTCCGCCGCCTCGACGATCTCTTTCGTCGTCGCTTTGGCCCGGCCTCGGACCTCTCCGACTGGCACAGCCTGCTCCGCCAGGGCGTGCCGATCTTTGAGTTAGACATGGATCAAATAGGTGCTGCTTTGCATGCTTTGTATTTTGACGCTTCTAGTGTTGCTGGATCTTATTACCCTGTGTACTCTAGTTTAGGTGTTGCACCATTGTGTAGCTTAGCCTCCCCTGTTGCGTCAGGCGTAGGACTGCCTAGGTTGCCTAGTTTAGTTGCTTCACCGGCTCCGTCCCCGGCCTCCGCCACTGCGTCGCTGTCCTTCACTCTCGACTCCGGTGCTTCTGCGTGCTTCTTCCGCAACCGTTCCACGCTCACGCCGCTTGCTGCGCCTGCTGTTGTCTCTCTTGCTGACCCCTCTGCGGGTCCTGTCGTCGCTCGCAGTGCTACGTCCCTTCCCTGTCCGGCAGTTCCCTCGGGCTCCCTTACCGGCCTCCACGTTCCCTCGTTCTCGAGGAACCTGGTTGGTGTCGGCTGTCTCCAGGACCTCGGCGTCACCACCACGTTCCCCGGGCACGAGCAGTTCGCTGTCTGTTCTGAGGCTGTCTCAGGTTCCCCCCTTGCGACGTTCCCCCGAGACCAGGTGTCCGGTCTGTTTACCCTAGATACCGCTTCCCCCCCGGTTGGTGCGTCCTCCCAGGTTGCTGCAGCTTGCTCGTGTCGGTCCCTCACTCACCCGTCCCTTCTGTGGCACCACCGCTTAGGTCACCCTGCTCTTCCGCATCTGCATCACATGTCCCAACAAGGTCTTGTCTTAGGTCTCCCCGCGTCGCTCCCTGCCCTTCCTCCCTCGCCTTCGCCACCGTGCACGCCTTGCGTCGAGGGTCGGCTCCACCTTGCTCCTCACTCCTCCTCGCTGCGCCCTGCTACTGCCCCCCTTCAGGCCCTGCACCTGGACGTTTGGGGCCCTGCCCCTGTCCCCGGACCGCGCGGTGAGCGCTACTTCCTTGTGCTCGTTGACGACTACACGCGCTACACCACGGTGTTTCCCCTGGAGCGGAAGGCCGACGTGCCCGACGTTCTTCTCCCGTGGGTTGTGGCTGCGCGTCTCCACCGCGGTCTCCCCGTGTTGTGTCTCCACTCCGACCGTGGCGGCGAGTTCGCCTCTGGTCGGCTTGGACAGTTCTGTCGTGCGGAGGGCATCACCCAGTCGTACACCTTGCCGGACTCGCCACAGCAGAATGGGATTGCTGAGCGCCGCATCGGCTTGGTCATGGAGGTCGCCCGTACCTCCATGATCCATGCCGATGCCCCCAATTTTCTGTGGCCGTTCGCTGTTCGCTACGCTGCTCACCAGCTTAACCTGTGGCCACGCTCCCAGCGGCCGCAGGTTTCGCCGACCCTCCTTTGGACCGGGTCCCCCGGTGACGCGTCTGTGTTCCACGTCTGGGGCTGCCTTGCTCACGTTCGTGCCTCTGGCACGGACAAGCTCACTGCCCGTACTGTCCCCTGTGTCTTCCTCGGTTTCCCCCTGGACTCGTCTGACTGGCTTTTCTATCACCCGCCGTCTCACCGCTTTCTCCACTCTCGTGACGTTACCTTTGACGAGTCAATCTCCTTCTACCGCCGCTTCCCTCACCGAGGTCTCCCAGTTGCCCCCCCCTTGTTCCTTGCTCCCTCTACCTTGGTAGCCCCTGCCCCTCTCCCGCCTCGTCCTGCCCCGTCTAGTGTCTCTCACGTCACTCCCCTTCAGCGGTTGTCCCCGTTGAGGAGTCTGCTGACTCTGGTGGTACCCCCGGTCCGTCCTTGCCGCGTCCCCCTTCCCCGGTGCCTCCGCCCCTACTGTCGCAGTCACCGACCCCGCTGCAGCCGCCGCCGCCGTCACCGCCGCACCCGTCGCCGCTGTCGCCGCCGCCGCAGTCGTCGCCGCCACTGCCGCTGTCGCCGCCGCCGCAGCCGCCGCCGCCGCAGTCGTCGCCGCCACTGCCGCCGCCGCTCTTGGCCCCTGGGGGTGCTGGTGTTGAGGAGGGTGTTCGTCCTGCGGCTCCTGGGGGTGCCGCTGGTGTTGGAGGGGGTTCTCGCTCTGGGGGTGTTGGTTCTGGGGGTGCTGCTGTTGAGTGTTCCGCCGACGGTCGTCCTGCCTCTGCTAGTCCGAGAGTTCCGGCCCAGCCGTCGCCGCCGCCGCAGCAGCCGTCGCCGCCGGTCTCCGCTCTCCGCCTGCTCGGCCTTCCCTCCCCGGACCGCGCGCCGGTGTCTCCCCCACCGCATGCTGACCTTCCTGTGTACGGTCCTGTGTTCCCGCCGCCGTACTCGTCTCTGGCGCGTCTTCCTCCTCGTTCCCCTCCTGTGTCCCCTCCGCTGTCCCCTGACCCTACACCTCCGTCCCACGTTTGGTCTCGCGGTCCCTCCCGTGCTCGTCCCGTCTCTCCTGTCCTTCCCACCCACCCTATGTTGCTCCGTTCCCGCTCGTCTCGTCCTCCCCTCCTCCCGTCCCCTCCTCCCTCGTCCCTTGCTGTTGCACCTCCTCCGTTCTCTGACTACCTCCGTGCTGCTCGTCCCCTTGTCCCTCGGGTCCTTGCCTCTCTTGTTACCGACCCTTCTGTTCTTGTCTCGCGCCTTGACGCGCTGGTCGCTGCTGTCGCTGACTTCGCCTCTACCCGCCGCCTTGTCTACGCTACCGCTCTGGTCTCAAACCCTGCCCGTCCTCCGTCCGTCGGGGGTGCTTCTGCCCTTGGCAGTGACGTCCTAGAGGACAGGCAGTACGAGCTGGCTTTCCTTTCCGAGGCTGCTCCCCATCTCTGCTCCATGCTGTTAGTTCCTGAGGGTGACCCAGACGCCTTCGACATCCCGATCCCTCGCACCTACGCTGAGGCCACCTCGGGACCTTGGGCCTCTCAGTGGATAGCTGCCATGGAGCAGGAGATGGCATCTTGGAGGTCCAGCGGCACTTACGTCGACGCAGTTCCCCCGCTGACCCTTTACTGTTTGTGCGTTCTGGCCAGACTCCGTTCTACATCCTTGTCTACGTAGATGACCTGGTCTTCGCTACTCCTGACAGGGACGCTCTGGCCTCTGTGAAGGCTGAGCTGCTGAAGAGACACTCCTGCACTGACCTTGGAGAGTTGCGTCGCTATCTTGGCCTGCAGATCTCCAGGGACAGAGCAGCACGCACCATCACTCTGACACAGTCACACTTGGTGCGTCAGGTCCTTCAGAGGTTCGGTCTTCAGTTCTCCTCCGCACAGCCCACACCTCTACCCGTAGACCATGGGCTCTCTGCTCCCGTTCCTGAGGAGCCTGTAGAGTCCAGTGGCCCCTACGCAGAGCTGGTGGGTTGCCTCATGTACCTGATGACTTGCACTCGCCCAGATCTCGCATACCCTCTCAGCATCCTAGCTCGCTTTGTGGCTGCAGGCAGACACCGACCTCAGCACTAGTCTGCCGCTAAGAGGGCTTTGCGTTATCTTGCAAGTACATCGGGCATGGGGTTAGTGCTAGGAGGATGCAGGCCAGTGGTCCTGACTGGGCACACAGACGCTTCTTGGGCAGACGACTCAGAGACGCTCAGGTCGTCGCAGGGCTACTGTTTCAGCCTTGGTTCGGGTGCTATCTCTTGGAGATCCACTCGCTCGCCGTCTGTGGCTCAGTCTAGCTGTGAGGCTGAGATCTACGCCGGTGCCATGGCGGCACAGGAGCTCCGCTGGCTGACCTTCTTGCTCACAGACTTAGGTGAGCGGCCTAGGTCTGCCCCCGTTCCTGTACGCTGACAACAGGGCCATGATACTCTTGTGTCAGGAGCCTCGGCTTGAGGGCAGAGCGATGCATATCCAGCTGCGGTACTTCCTCCTGCGCGAGCTACAGCAGCGCCGCCAGGCCCGCGTAGTTCACTTGGCCTCAGGTGCCAACACAGCTGATATCTTTACTAAGGAACTTGCGCCTAAAGATCATCAGCGGGACTGTGTACAGCTTGGTCTTGTTCCTGTAGCTGCTCCCCTGTTAGGATCCTGATTGTGTACTCTCTATTATATATGCCTGTCAGACTGGCCTTGTGGCCTTACCTCCAGTGGCTGGACTAGTAGTGCCGCCCTGGCTTGCTTTAGTTTTGTCTGTATTCTTGCTGACTGGTCTTCAGACCCCTGCCTCAGTGGTTGGACTAGTAGTGCCGCCCTGAGCTGTTTGCTTCTTGTTTAGCTGCACCCCTTGTCTAGCCTAGGGGGTGTGTCAACTTATACATATTAGCTATGTAGAAGTTTTAGGCTAGACTGAGGTATGCTTCTAGTGAGTACAACCAACTAGTATTTGTTCTAGGTTTCCCCTTCTAGCAATTCATTTGTTCTCACCTTAACACAAACTCCCGAGTCCCGACAGAGGCTTTCGAGCGCGCTGTTCGTCCGAAACTGCGAATCTCCATCTTGGTCCAACTTGTAACGCGTCCTGAGGGGTATGGTTGGGGTGCTGACACACACCAGCACCAGCCGAGATCACCCACCCAGGTTTATTACAACATCCCATCCCATCCCAGGGCCGCTCTTCTCGTATGCCATACACAGTACATCAAAGCCAGTCCTAGCATACAAACATACCATATAAATACGTATTCTGCAGCATTATACACATTATATTCTACCCTAGCTAAGTCCACAGCATCAGCTCTACAGACAATATGGGCCTTTTTCTAAAGAAGTTGCCTACGGTGATGCTGCATACCTACTGTAAAGTCTACACTACATGCCCTACTAGTCCACTTACAATAAAACACTACCATGCATACTCGGCAGACCTCCTGTGAAGACAGCAACAAAATGCAGCAGCAGCAAGCCCAGCCTGGTGCTAAAATCAAGTCTTCTCTACCCCCCGTGACGTGGCATCCTTCCCACTCGTGCTCTGCTCTCCCCCCTTCCTTCACCCCACCACAGTCAAAAGTGTTTCTCGACTGAAGTAAACGGGGCCTCCAGGCTGCGCCTCCCCCTGTGCATGGCGATGGGCCGCTCCCCGTAGAATCTCCTCTGTAGCTGCGCCCCTCATTCCTCCCCCCCATCCCCTCCCTTCCTCCTCCCCCCAAAGGCATCAGAAGTGTTTCTCGACAAACGTAAACAGGGCCTCCAGGCTGCGCCTGCCCCTGTGCGTGGCCATGGGCCGCTCCCCGTTGAACAGCATGAGCGTGGGAAAGCCCGGGATCTTGTACTTGTCTGTCAGCTCTGGATACCGGTACGCGTCCACCCGTGCCACCTGGTGAGAGGTGGGAAGTGGAATCAGACGGAAAGGGCGAAGTGGGCGCAGGGAGTTGAGTTGGCTCTAGAAGCCCAGCATCTTGTACTTGTCGGTCAGTTCTGGATACCAGTAAGCGTCTACACGTGCCACCTAGGTGAGACGCCATGAAGGGGGAAAGGGCGGGTTGGGTGCAGGGAGTTGAGTTGGCTCCAGAAGCCCGGGATCTTGTACTTGTCTGTGAGCTCTCTCTGAATTGACCATCGCTCCTTGCCTACTCACACCGCACTGAACCTATTCAGCCTCATGGCACCCCTCACCTGCACGTTGAAGCTCTCTTGGTGCAGCTTCTCAGCCAGAGCCGCCCACGCCCCCTACTTATCTCTCCTCGACAGCAAACTGAATCATATCACTCCCCGCCCTTCCAACATTCCTCACCTGCACGTTGAAGCTCTCTTGGTGCAGCTTCAGCCAAAGCGGCCCGAGCAGACTGAACTTGTATTACCCCTACAGGGCATTTTTTTGAATTCTAAAAAATAACCGGAGAATTCTAAAAAATACTCGCACCGAATCAAACCTATCCTGCCTTATAACACCCCTCACCTGCACGTTGAAGCCCTCCTGGTGCAACTTCTCAGCCAGAGCCGCCCACGCGCCCTCCATGCGCTGGCAGTAGGGGCACCACGGCGCATAGAACATCACGAGCGTGGGCCTGGTAAGAGTGTGGGGGGGGAGGAGGGGATAGAAGGGCAAACAGGAGTGACCAGCAGCCAACGCAGCCTCATTGCACTGGTAGTAGGGGCAACAGGGGGCGTAGAACATCACGAGCGTGGGCTTGACAGGGGCGGGAAGGGGTATGGAAGGTGGGGGGTAAGGGAACATCAAACAGGGCAATGAGTGAGTGGGCCAGAGCCGCCCATGCCGGCACCATGCGAGGGCAGTAGGGGCACCAGGCCGAGTAGAAGATGACCAGAGTGGGCATGGTAGAGGAATGGCGAGACCGAGCGACAAGGGAGCGACAGTGACAAGGGCAATGAGTGCACGGGCACAAGCCACCATGGTGCCCCCATGCGCTCACAATAGGGGCACCAGAGCGCGTAGAACATGACGCCTGGCACTAAGTGAAAACACCTGAGAGCACCTGAGACAACTTGGAGCACCTGAGACAACCTGAGGGCAACTGGCTGCTGATCCGAGTCAAACTGAGAGCACCTGAAACTCACTGAGTTGCAGCAACAGACAAGTGTTTTCTGCAGTAAAAAACACCTGAAAGTTCACTTGAAACCACCTGAGGAATCACCTGAGTCGAAGCACATGAGGCAGAGTGGTAGCAGAGAGCTCGATCACTCCAGGCTTCGCCTCCCTCCTGAAAGACGCCATGAGCAGAACGACGCACGCAAAAAACGAAACAAATAACTCAGAAGGAAATATTGGTCGAACACGCGTCTGGGAAAACACGCCTCTGGGAAAACACGGCTCTGGGAAAACACGCCTCTGGGAAAACACGCGTCTGGGAAAACACGCGTCTGGGAAAACACGCGTCTGGGAAAACACGCGTCTGGGAAAACACGCGTCTGGGAAAACACGTGTCTGGGAAAACACGCCTCTGGGAAAACACGCGTCTGGGAAAACACGACGAAGCACGCACAGCCCGCAAGAGACAAGGCCTCCTCGTCAAGGAAAAGAAGTCGCGGACGAGGCGTTGACGGGCTGACAAACAAGAAACACCCACAGGTAAAACGGAACGCTCTTTCCACTCTCTGCAACCCCCACGCCTTGCTCGTCCCTCAACGAGGCGACTTTATGACTCCACTCAAAAAGCCACTCTCTGCAACGCAACCCCCACGCCTTGCTCGTCCCCCAACAGCATCACTGGCGCCATTGACCCTTCATTTGAAACCAGCAGAAAAGAGTTCACACCAACACTTACAGGTAGAACGGGACATTCTTCCCCTGTGCCCCTCCGACCCCCACGCCTTGCTCCTCCCCCAATACCATCACTGGCGCCATGGATCCTTCATTTAGACTCCCTCCTCGCGCGTCCCCCTTGCCGGCCGCTGCTGCCCCACCGCCTCCCGCCAGAAGATCCCCGCTAAGAACCGACCCGCTAGCAGCAGCCTCGCTAACAGCACCCCCGCCAACAGCGCTCCCGGCAGGAGCCATAACAGCGGACATATTGCGTCCCGGTCCGAGCCTCGCGCCAGTCGCGCTGGTGACGAGCGTCACAGCGAAGCCAATCGCCGCAGCGCCGATCCCGAGACCCAGGATCCATTCCTCCCACGACCACGTCAGCTTCAGGACCCCCACACCCATTCCCGAAGGCAGCACACCTTCCTGTCTCGAATCTCCTTCCCTGAACGCGTTTTCTCCCACCCGCTCTTCCCCCACGGCCCCTCCCGCCGAGCCGCCATGGCTGCTTGGGACGACGTTCGGTCCGGCTGAGGAGCTAGAGGCGGAGGCTGGAGTTAATGAAAGAGAGGTCCCTGGGGAGCTAGATGCGTTGATTAGCGGAGCTAGGGTTTCGGAAAGGAGACGGAGAGCATCCGGGTTGTATCTTGAAGAATCGGCCGCTGCTGCTGGGGCTGATTCACTGACGACAGGGGAATGGCGAATGGCGAAATGGGCTGGGCTGGACTCGCGAGCCTTAACCATAGCGTAAGGTTCCGCATTTGGTGCTGTTGCTGCCGCTCCTGCTGCTGCAGTTGCGTCCTGCGCTGATGCGGTGGTGTACCGAAAATAAGGTCGTTCGTGAGCGGACATGGCGGACGGATCGTCGATTCCTAGGAGCTCCGCGTCGCCGAGCGCTGGCTGCGCTCCTGTGAACTCGTTCGGCATCCATACCATCGAGTTCTGCGCCCGAGATCAAGAGGAAAACTAACGTCGTGTAAAAAAAAACGCTTTCAACGAGTCTGCTTTTGAGGCGGCTCAAAAGAGAGTGCGCTCGGCATCCAGTTCAAGCAAAAAAAAAACAAAACATTGTCGAGAAAATATACTGCGTCGTGACTTTCAGACATGCGAAGTTGAAAAACGAGCGAACTTCAGGATATGCGAACGAACCTGGTTGTCAACCTCCGCGCCATTGGGCCAAACTCGCCTTCGGGAATCAGCTGCGAACACACCGCTCCACTCCTCCGCGCTCTCGCCTCTGACATGTCCCGTGCTAGCATGGACCACGCTCTTAGTAGCTGGCAACCCGTGATTTAAACGAGGGAATGCTCCTAGCGCTACTTGCCTATTCGAATAAGGAGCTAAGCTCCCCATTAGTAAGGCACTTTCCACGGGATTGGTGGTCGCGGCAACGGCCTTCGGAAACGGATTTAGCACGCAATCCACGAAACAGCACTTTAACGAGATGGCAAAGTGTAGCCGGAGTGGAGGAGTCGAGAGTGGTAATCGACAGACGCACTATCCTGAGAAACCCTAACCAGAACGCAAAAAACTACAAATACAGCCAACGAGCAATTGTAAAGCTGCAACTGGTGGGACTCGCTTGATGGAGGAGGAGTACGGATAGGGTGATTTACCCTGTATTGCCACAGACGCGCTCATCTACACCGCACTGTACCTCAATACCTCTGCTGGCTCGCGATTGGTGGTTAGCGCGCCTTTGACTGTGCTGGCGTAGAGAGAGAGGCGCGGAGGAGTGGCGGGAGTCCCAGGATTTCAGGAAAATCCCCAAGTCGCGTTTTAGAGGAAATTACACTTGTTTTTTCTATTTAGTTTTACGTTTTTCGCACGCGGCTTAAGTCTGTAAGCAGGAAATTGTAAAACACGGGCAAACGGGACTTTGAAGGGGAAATCCCACAGTTAACAGTGACACTTGGTTACAAAATCTCGCTCATGCACTAGATTTGTTGCCTGCGTGACATTCCAGCTCTGAAACTCGCAATTGTCGAAATACAACTTGGTAGTTCGTTATCGTTCAGACTGCAGCCAATCAGGTTCAGTGTCAACGCGAGTCATGCTGAGAATCCGGTAGGTGAGATTGCAATTTGGACTGTTCGGGGTGGGACCATAGAGGAGAAAAGGTGTATGGAGAACACCGAATGGTCCTGATAAACTGTTCTCAAAAACTGTAGACGTATATGATTCGATAAGCTGTATAACTTCACATTCTCCAACTGTACTACAACAACTAAAGATGATTATATTACAACATAAGCCACAATTTTGCCATTCCACGTCGTACGCTGGGAAACGGTTTCGTCCTTCATTCCCGTTCACAGAATGTATGAGGGCACGCATCCTTTGACCACCAATCACGGGGACTAGGAGCGACCTTTCCTCCCTGGAGTCAATAAGAGACAGCAAATCTTGGGGACAGCGAATTCGGCATAATATTTTCAAAGCAGCCTTCTTGGTCTTCACTCAGAGGACTTTTTTCTGCCAAGCTCGTTCGGCAGCCAGCCATGGCTGCGGTCATAATTTCGTCGTTCCCCCAACTTCAAACCATCCCGGCAGCAATATCCTCGTTGACTACTGGCAGAGTCACCCCTGCTGTCACATCCGTTATGATCACTCGCCGACGCTCGCAACGCATCCGGAGCTCGTCAAACGGCGATAGGAACGTTTCAATTACGGCGTCTGAAGCAGCCGAGCGACGAGAGGCGAAATTGAGGGAGCTTATAGCGGAGCAGGCGGCGCTGGAGAAGGAGGAGGAGAAGCCGTACAGATTTGTCGAGGGACGAAAGTACTATCTTGATGAGCTGGACATCCCGGGATTCCTGGACGGCTCACGGTATTTACGGCCGTCGGATCCGGACGCTTACAATCCAGCAGCATTCCTGTGGTGCGTGTTAAGAGACATTCACACCAGTAATGGTGCTGCATTTGAGTCCTTTATTTGTTCACGGGTATTGTTGTTCAATTGACCCTCAATTGACCCTCAATTGACCCAACCTCTTACTGAGTCCTTCTGTGTTAGCCTTGTCCGTTTCCTTTTCCTATTCTTTTCTCGTTCGCAAGCATCAATTCAATTTGTATTTTCATTCTGACTCCATTTTTCCACTCTCGTTCAAAACGCCTGGAGGAAGAAGTTTGGAGACACCCCCGAGGAGAAGAGGCGCCATAGACTGGTGGATGGATGGATCCGCTCTCAGACCCTTCGTTTTGCCCTTCTTCACTCGCCTTGCTGCTTTTTCCCTCGCCCTGCTCTTCCTCTCTCACCTCTCTCTTTCTCCCTCTCCTATCTTTCTCTTCCCCTCTCTCGCTCTTATTACCTGCAGGAAGAAGATCGGGGACATTCCCGAGGAGAGGCGCCATAGACTGCTGGACCTGCTCAAACCCCAGTCAGTACACTAGATCCTTGTTACTGCGCTAGACCCTCACACATAGAACATCGCAGGAAGACGATTGCCGTAAAGTACACTAGATATTCGTTAGTACACTAGGCTTTATCCTTCTTTCGCCATGTCATCCCTCTTTAAGCACACTGCTCAATCTTCCTTTCGCCATGTGATAACTCGGCATGCTATGCACAACGTTCCATCAGTCTGAGGCCATGCCATGTGATTCTCCAGGGGCAGGAGGAAGCATGCCTCCCCACACCCACCCCCATCCCAGCACTCCACCCCGCCTACTCCACAAACAACGCCTTCCACCTTACAGCCATCTTTGAGAATTCTCAAAACTGCCGGGGCAGGAGGAAGCCCACACCCACCCCCGCACTCCACCCCGTCTACTCCACAAACAACCCCTCCCACCAGCCATTTCACCCTCATGTGGGATGCGGCCGGCAAAGCTGGAGCAGGAAGAAGCAGCCCGGCGCTTATTCGGCAACACCCTCTCTCATCCCATTTACCCCCCCCCCCACCTCTCCCCTCCCTCTCCCGCCTCCCCCTTACTCCTCAAAATACCCCTCCTGCAGCCATTTTACTCTCATGTGGGATGCCGCCGGCAACCGCTCCAGCTGGGGCAGGAAGAAGCGATCCGCTCCATGCTCCTCGTCCCCCACTCCCCAACACATCCCATCCACCCTATCTACTCCCTCTTTCTTTCTCCCGTCTTAATAGTCACTTCACCCTCATGTGGGATGCGGCCGGCAATCGCTTCCAGCTGGAGCAGGAAGACGGGGAGGAAGGAGCGGATCCGGTGACGTCAGCAGGCGGGATGCTGCCTGACGTTGCCACGTCAGCGCCCCTGCAACCGGAAATATGGGATGGGAGGGTCATGGGAGGTGAGGGTTGTGAAGGGAAGGGGGGGAAAGGGGGGAGGGGGGGGGGGAGGGGGGAGGGGAAGGGGAGGAGGGGAGGGGAACAGGGGGAGGAGTGGGGGTTTTGTGATGGAGTGGAAGTTATAGGGGGAAATGGCGGGAAGGTGGGTTTGGGGGACAAGTCTTTCCAGTTTTTGAGGGCGCCTCAAAACCATGCGTGAGGAGTCTATTTTGAGGCGCCTCAAAACCATGTGTGGGGAGTCTATTTTGAGGCGCCTAAAAAATGGCGGGAAGGTGGGTTTGGGGAACAAGACATTCCAGTTCCTATTTCTCCGCCTCTTTCTCGATCCGTTCGTCCTCCTTCAAATATCTGTCCAGTCGCACTCCCCCCTCAATTGGTCCTTTGTATTAGAAGGTGTGTGGTACAGGCAGGGCAGTGGACAGCGCACAGCCCCCTCTCCCCCTCTCCGTTCCCCTCCAACTATCTGTCCACTCACACACTCTCCTCTCCACCTCTGCCCCCCCCCCACCCCCCCCCCCTTCTTTTCCCCCCCCCTTGTATCCCACACCAGTCCCAGGTCCCCTTTCATGGCTTGGCAGGTTCCAAAAGGTACGTTCCTGTATCCCTCCTCCTCCCTCTAAGTATCCCTCGTCTCTGTAAGTGTCCCTCCTACAGCCCCCAGTATCCCCCACCACCAGTCCCATTTGACCCTATCATTACTGAAAGTACGTCTGCACGTTTTACCCACCCATGTCGGGCCAGCTCACGCCTTATTTCAAACCTTTTCAGCATTTTCTATTTTGTAGTAGATTCACGAACAATAATTTGCCTAATCCCCACTTGTCTTAGACCCGCTTATCTCCTGATTCCGACTCCATTTTTTGTCTTATCCGATTGTAACCCTAACTCTGCAGTCGTTCTTTGTTGGCGCCGATGGGCTGCGATATGGCCGTGTCATCTCAGGTAGGTTACCTCTCAGCTCATTTTGTCCCTCTAAACTTTATTTCCGGTGATTATTGTGATGTGTGAAATACATTCATTTCCGCAGCAGTGTTTTGTGCAGCCTTGAATGTACCATTTCAACACTTTCCCCTCAAAGCCTTCCTTCCATTCTCCCCCTTCGCCTCTCATTCGGTCAGGTGGACCCCTCTCCATTGACCTCTCCAGTGGAACCATCCCCTTTAACATACCATTCTGTCTCATTCACCTCCCTGTCTCCTTTCTGATCATGCTGACCCCCTTTCATTGGCCTCTTCAATACAATCACACCCTTTAACGTATCATTCTGTTTCATTCACCTCCTTATCTTTCCAACCAGGCGGGCCCCTCTTTACTGGACTCTCCAATACAATCACACCGCTGTATTTCCGCATCCGGGCGGCCAATCGTGTTCTGGCAACGGACGAGCCGTGCGACCTCTCCTTTGACTACGAGTCCGGGCAGCTCCACTTGAAAGATATCGGGCTGCCCGAAGGCTTTCCAGTCCCTCGTGAGTTGAATCTTCTGGCACCCGAAAACAATTTCAAACCTTTCCAATGCTTCAGAGACCACATGAGGGCAGCAAAGGGGGTGGGGGGGTGTGGTTGTGGGGCAGTGCTCTTTCTCACCTGCCAGTCATCTCTATCCCCACAGCTTCTCTATCCGTCTGTCTCACGCTCCCCTTTCAGGCCCCCACCCGCCTATTTTCGATGATGATTTCATAGACTATGTGCGGGCAGCAGGGCCGGGGGTGGTAGTGGGGTAGTCACATACCACTCTTCACTCTCTCTCTCCCCCACCCCCGTCCAATCTCCATCCCCCTTATTCTTGTTCCTCCCAGGCCCCACCCCCACCCGCCTATTTTCGATGATGATTTCAGAGACGAAGTGAGGGCAGCAGCGCCGGGGGTGATAGCAGTGCTCTCTCCCTTATTGCGTTCATTGCTCTTCTCCTCTCTTCCCTCCCTTTCCCTCTCCCCTTCCCTTTCAGGGCCCCACCCGCCTATTTTCGATGATGATTTCAGAGACTATGTGCGGGCAGCAGGGCCGGGGGTGGTAGTGGGGCAGTCGTGGCAGGAGGGGAGAGACATGGATGCAGAGCCCAGGCAGTTTTTAGGAGAGTTTATCCTCGTTAGAAGGCACCCTCACCAAGTGAACCCATGATACAAATAAGAATATTACTTTTATTATTCCAACATACTGGTACACAAGGGTGTATTTCAGCATGTCACCGTCTACACGAAGGGACAGCAGCAGTAAGGTACATGATGCCACATGAGCTCATCTTCGGCTTTCCTTGAGCACAAACTCGCATTGCAACCGGCCCTTTCACCAGCCGCCCCAAAAAGTTGGGCAGCTGAAACTTATAGAGGCGCTGGCAACCTTTCCCGGGCTGCCCGAACCGCAGCCGGAGATACCGAATGTTTTTGTACCTGAGAAAGGGGAACAGAGGGGAACGGCCATGATTGGTAGAGTATTGCAAGACACAAGACAGCAGAGCAGAGCAGGTATGGGGGAAGGCGGGTTGGTGCTTACGGTAAATCTAGGAGGGGGGGGGGGGGGGGGGGGGGGAGGGTGAGATTTTTGTGAATTCTAAAAAAACTCACTGAGAGGAGGGGGGGGAGGGGGGAGGGTTTGGGAAGAGGGTTGACGAAAAGAGGGGAGGGAGGCAGAGGGAAACCCACCCAGGGAGCGGAAGAGGGAAAGGATTGGAGATAAATCTTCACAAGGTTACAGAGGGCTTTCCTGTACTGCAGGGATTGAGGGGCATACAGTAGAGGTGTTGAGCAAGAGTTGAGAAGAATACTCCCATGATTACAGAGAGTTACCTTGTATTGGGGGGGCTTTGGCAGGAGGGTTTGAGCTGCTTAGGGGGCATCCATTAATAACTGTAAGTTAAGAAAACTCACGTGATTACAGTGAGTTGTCTTGTCTTGGGGGGAGTGGGGCAGGAGGGTCTGAGGGGAATGAAGAGCATCGAGACGAATGGGCCAGAGGAGCAGGACGGGGTGGAGGAAGGAAACACGTAGTTGATGCCCTGCGCCGAACCTGCTGCCGAACCTCCAACGCCTGCCGAGGCTGCAAGTGACCTTGAAGTTTGGTAGTGGGAGGGAGATATGGTGGCAAGCTGTCGCTTGGGTGGTTCTGATGGGGTATTGCTGTTGCTGCTTCCACCGCTGCTGCTGCTGCTGTTGCTGCTGCTGCTGCTGCTGCTGGAGGCTTGGGGCGAGGGCGAATCGAACTGGAAAACGGTGCTGGTGGAACCCACCACCAGAGGAGGGCGAGGCTCGGAAACCGAGCCTGGAGTTGGTGTGGCAGGGTTGGGTGGGCTCAGTGGTGGTGGCTGTAACGGTGGTGATTCTAACGAGTTGTTGGTGGGGGGAGTTGGGGAGGGGGAGTTGAGGGGGGGAGCAGGGAAATTTCCGGGGGAAGAGGGGGGAGTTGGCGGAATGCAAGGAGACATTTGCACGGGGGAGGGGGAGATTGGGGGGGACAGCTCGCCAGGGGAGGGATTGCTGGGGGGAGAGAGCGGGGGGGGAACTGGCACAGGGGGAGAGGCGCAAGGGGGAGGCGGAGCGGGAACTGTACGGTTAGTGGTGTTGTTTGTTGGAATGAACGCAACGTCGTAAATGAACGTGGCCTGTAACGGAGATGACGAGGTGGGAAAAAAGCAGGGGAAAAAGCAGGGGAGAGGGTCTGGGCAAAGCTCAGATATTTTGCACGAAGAAATGTTTGCTTTGATAGGATTACCTGAGTACGCATGTTAGGAAATCAAGATCGCTAGGTCGGATGCGGGAAAACTTACACTAGGAAAAACGAAATCTAAAAAAAAGGACGAAATGAAGGGAATAAAAGGAAACCTGCGCACCGGAGAAAGAGTCGAATTTCCAGCCGCAATTCCCGCAGCACTGGAAGCATCGCCAGCTGTCGCATTCGATCGAGCGACGATGACGAGCGTCGCGATAAAAGCCCGTCCCTCCGGAATCCCCAAGCCGAGCGCTTCCGCGGCAACAATCACGCCCTTTGTAATCACGGCGGTTAGAATCGTCCGCAGCGATCCAAACTGCTTCGTATTGTTAACCTTTATCGCGATATTCCAAATCAGATTCAAAAGCTGCAACGACCCCCGCTTAAAGCGCGAGCGAAACTGTTTTCGCAACTTCTTCGCGAAACCGAATCTCGCACCACCTCTCCTCCGCCTCCTCTGCGGCTGCGTCCGCTTCCCGACGCTCGTAGGAACGACGGTTGTCTTTCCGCCGCTAGATCTGGCAATCGGAGTCACACCGCCAGTAGCGATAAGGGAGCGCGCTGACATTCGCTGCGGTCCCTTTAGCGAAAGGTCGACTTCGAACTCGCTCGTCCATGGCGTTTGCGCCTCGCTCGTTGCTGTCACATCCGCCTCACCTGGCCCGTCCTCGACCACAGATCTGCCCTCCCGAGGCTCTCCGCTCCCCTCCCTGCCCGCAACGCCTTCCGCCTCTGCTTCTGCCGCTTCCGCCGCTTCTTCCGCTTCCTCCGACAATTCCCAGCCGTCCCCCCCAACTCCCCGCTCGCCCTCCCACCTCGTGCTCCATTCGGGTTCCCATCCCTCCCCCTCTCTCCCTTCCCGTTCCGCTTCTAGCTCCGCTTCCCCTTCCCCTTCCCCTTCCCGCTCCCATTCCCCCCCTTCTTCCGCGTTGTCTCCCGCCCGCCAAAGCCCCGCTAGCTCCTCCGCACTTATTCCCCCTAGCGCGTCCGCGTCCCACTCCCCCTCCTCGTCCTCCCCCGCTTCTTCCCCCTCCTCATTTCCCCCCTCTTCTTCATCTCCTGCGTATTCGTCCTCCCCTTCCTCCCCTTCCTCCCCTTCTTCCTCTTGTCCCTCTTCCAATCGCTCCCCTCCAAGAGTCCCCTCGCCGTCGTCCGCGCTTGGAGCGGACTCGTTACTCAACCAGAGCGACTTTAAAAAGCTCCACCAGTTACTCAACAGAGTCCGTTTATCCGATGTAGTACTGCCAGTTACTCCTACTGATGCCATTTTTTTATCCGCGTTACTCCTGTGCTTTTCTGAGCCCAAGTCCCTCACCCCTTGCCCTGCCTCTTCGATCCTCTGCGTCGACGAAGGTGTAACTTCCGGCCCTAAATTTTCGGCTGTTTTCGCCACGTCCTCTGTATCCCTTTTCGCCAGCGAAGCCCCATCGGATGCGTCGTCCAATCTCCGTTGCTGTCTCGAGCTCCCTTTCTCAGAAGTTTCGACCATGTCCGGCACCAAACGAGCTGCGTTACTACTTCCCGCGTCATTTGCGGCGCGAGAGACGGCGCGACTTTCAGCGTGAGCTGCGGAGCTAATCGCGACGACGCTCAACAGCAGAATCGCGATCCGAGGTCGTCTCATCCATGCGAGGCACTCTCGCACTTCTGTTACCCTCGCGAATGGTAACCCTATTCTACTGCAGCGCTTTCGCGAAGCACTCCTAGGTCTAGGCTCCATTTCGTAAGGTTCCCGCAGAATGCGGCGACGTGATATTGCAGTAGCGTTTCGCGCTGCGACTGTGCCGCGACTGCGCAGCCGCCTACGACTTATTAAGGTACGCGCTGGACGTCAAAATGATGACGTGGCGTCGCGGTCTCCGTTACTACATGAAAGAATGGGAACGTGATGTGGCGAAACAGCACCGGGGTTGTCAACGTAACATCGCCTAGCCAGCGGTGCGGTAGTGACTAGACTGGTAACTGGGTAACCCCACGCCGGAGTGAACCTAAATGTTTGGGACCCGGTACTACGCGGCGTTCAATTGATACACAACTGGACTAAGTCCGGTGCGCATTGTGCGTTGTGCCGAAGTCAACCAAGTGGTGGGCGAAGGGGGAAGGGGGAAGGGGGAAGGGGTGCGGAGGAGGGACGCTAGACGGAACAGCTTCGGCGCTAATTAGCAGATTCCCCTCTCCCCCCCAAAAGAACAGCACAGCAGTCACCTCACCAGTCACCAATGAAGACTACGCTGTACAGTTCTCGTACCCTGTGCCGTGCCATGGCTTCACGCGATGGTGGCCTGCCTGCCCTGGGTCAGGGGAATCGAGAAATAGGCGGCGAGAGGGAGACATGATACAGGGAGTACTGTACTGTAAAGAGACAGGGAGGCACAAGAGAGACAGGGAGGGAGGGAGACAGGCTTGGCCAATCATTTCACCATCCCCTACGAGGCAGGAGGGCGAAGAGTTGAGATGAGATCGGAGGAAGGTGGTCCAGACACTGTAACTGAGGGAGGGAGCGCGTAAGCGGGGAGGGGAGAGCATCTCTTTCACATTCCGATGGATGCATGGGGCGTGTGGTTAGAAATCATTTTCGCACGGTTCAGTAACTTTCTCCACGTTCCAAAGAATTTCTTAAAGCAAGGGTCTCAAGAAGCAAAAAACCAAACCCAAAGGTTTTGGTTTCGAGGGTTCGCGAACATTGCGAGGTGTGGTGAGGGGTGTTGGGGGGGTCGCTGTTACTGTTTCGCTCATTTCGTCAACCCGAAACCAAAACCTTTGGATTTGGTTTCGCGCTTCTTGAGATCTTTGCTTTAAGAACTACTTGACGGTTAGGTAGGGTGTTGAGATTTGAACTAGTTTTCACTTCCGCAGGCTGCACGCCACGACGAGTTGGAGTACGGAAACCGCCCAGAACAGAATCCTGCCTCTCACCACCACCACACCACACACCACCCGCGGTGCCCATCTCTGAATGTTGCACATGTTTGGGGGGTTTTGGTGGCGCTGCGCTGTGTGACACGGCGATTGTCTGCGAGAGGGGGTTTGAGGGAGTGGGGGAAAGGCGGGGAGGGGGGGAAGGGGGCGAAGCGGGAGAAGCACTACAGCTTTACGGGGAGGGGGACCACAGATGGATGTGGCTGGCTGGCTGGGGCAGCTGAGCGGATGGTACAGCAGCGGCAGGGAGCCAATGAGCGGGCGGGAAGGGAGCAGGGAAGAGGGGAGCGCGGGGAAGGTCGCCCCCGTCCAGTGCAGTTTTCGGAAGACGCGCAACGCAGGAGGCCCGTCTGTCTGTACACCTGGTGTCCACAAAATGCTGTGCTCAAGTCAGTTCCAATTGAGCCCCTCCTGATGATAATTTTTGTTCAAATACATTCAGCACGACTCGTGAACAGTCTGTTGCAATGTCGGTCTTCAGGTGTAAAAGCGCGGGGTGGCGGTGGGGGGAATGTGGGGGGGAGGGGGAGTTCCACAACTTGAAAAAGTCTTTCACCGCGGCGGAGGCACAGAGAAACGGTCCTGGTGTCGCGTCGCGTTGTGGTGGATGCATTGGCTGAGGCCAAGTTCGAGGGGGAGGGGAGAAGGGGAGTGGGGGGGAATGGAAACAAGAGATTTGCCTAGGACCGGGCCTGGTCTCAGATCGAATCTCGAAAGACTATTGGGGCAGCATGTCCCAAGGAGGCAACTACACTTGATTTCCAGTCAATCGACCATATATCCAAGGATCTCGAGATACCTTCAGTCCCACTGAACAGGTTATAGGGGAAATATCCCGACGTGTGCAGTCCCTCGAATCAGGCGCAATCTAAGGTGAAGATTATGTCTCCGAGAAACGTGCACATAAAACAGACCCAAGACCAAAATTGGCTGCAGTACTGCATGCTGTTACCGAAGTTCACACAAACAACAGCGCACGCAACCCGTTTTTTACAGCGATGCTGCCAAGGCGGTAACCCTGGTTTTATGTCTAAGCCCACTTTTGTCGAGAGTATATCGTGTCCACCACAGGATTATCCGCCCAGAATAAAAGTAAAACTAAAAAAGGCATCATGTGTAAGGCCGCCCCGCCAAAACGTACGCGACTAGTGCAAGACGACTAGCACGAGTATTTCACACGACTAGTGCAAAGATGACTAACGCAAGTATTTCACAGGGGCAATTATTGGGGAGTTTATACGGGAGGTAACAATCATGGGTCCTGCTAACACTGGAGTTTACTCTTGTTATGAATTATAACTCATAGTATAGTGCGGAAAACTATAGGGGAACGTGATTACAGAGTTGTACAGAATAATGAGGCCTAGGCAATATATAGGGAGAGTTGACCAGGGTTGAATGTCGAGGGTTGGACCAGTCAAGGGCTCGATAGTCCCGTTTGGCGCGAGAACCAAGGGCCGAGCCTGCGGACACGAACCGTTCGCGTGTACTCGCTGTGGCGAGCCCCAGTAAGGAATCGTAATTCCTTACACTCTCCCACCTTATAAAAGGAAAGCACTCCCTTTATCGAGGCCGAACAGTCATTAAAATAATCCCCGATTTGACTGTAAGCCTTCAGCCCTGTAACGAGTGTAATGATTACGCCAGCCTGACGAGGTCTTGAGATCAATGGCCAGAAGGCGTCGAAACGATCGCTTTTAATCTCAGCCGTTGAACATGGTCGAATAATTCAGCTGACCGAAAGTCAGCGAACTCCATTAACGAAGTAACGAAATCAGGCGCGGAAGCCTAACGGTAACGAATGATGCTCGAAGATGGATGATGGAACACATCGAAGGGTCAGACGAAAAATTGCAGCACAGCTGCATCAGCTTCTTTGTCCGAACACGTCGAAAAAATCGGAAAGAGCCGAAACTGCTGTTGCGCTTCTCCTCCTCTAGGCACCCAAAATATTCAGAGAATATCGGTCGATGTCCCTCGTACCCCTGAAGATAGCGGGCACATCTCCAGCTGTAAAACGTTGAACTGCTCCAGCAAAAATCTCGGAACCACACGGTACTTTGCGAATACCGTAACTCCGCTTCATAGCTACCCATAAAACACTCAGGTGCCACGTCTTCCTTTAGCAGCGCCCCCACGGTTTCTCCACCAGCTGTACACATGAACAACACCCTTTATATTAGGGAACACTGGAGTCCACCGCCTCGGCATGATGTTTTGGCCGTCGATCGGGGTCAACGCGCATGATACGCCGTCGATTTCTGCTCAGCTGTTACCCAACTCTATAAATTCTCCGGTACCCCTGTCCAGCTGGCCGTGGAGGCGTTCACCCATCTCACGGCTGCTGCAGATTACCCATAACCGCTTTTTTGCTGCTTAACTAACTAAGAAAATCCGCAGAGATAGGAGTGCGCACGCTTGTAGTCAGATGGGCTTTAACGAGCTCGCATACTGACCGCTGGACAACTCCCTCCTCCGTCGAAAATTTGTCAAACTACACCCGCAAAAATCGGAAATTCCTTCTACTGCGCTAGGTGAAACCCTCAGCTCCACAGCAACAGTAACTCTGAAAAGTTCAGGGATACTTCATCAGCACAGTGTAGTTCGCAGGTTCACCCCCCTTATTCAGTCAGAAGCCGTCGATTAATAAGTCGACACTGCTACCTGGTGGGAATGGTGATTTCTGGGCGACGTAGCTGGGTGAGTAGCAGCTCGTACGCCACTAACCCATCTGCTCCAGTACTCCCGTCGTTCTTCTCCCACTATTTTAGCTCCCGACAGTTAACACATTCGGCGATCCTGACGAAGCCTTCGCTTTTTTTGGAAGCCAATCCGAAGACTCCGTTCGAACACCCAAAAATTACGAAAGCTCTAACAAACATACCTGAAAAACACTGCGAAAACGTCGCCCACTCTTCGACGAGAAATAATTATGTCTAGCCCGGGGAAGGGGAGGACCGGCTAATCCCAACCGTCCATCGGACAGGATCTGACGACATCGGAGACGCCCGTGCAATGAATCTCCGCGACGTCCGCTCGCCATCAGCATCCTTTCGCCCCCTTCCCCGATAGGGTCTGCTCCCCTACCAGAAAACTTATGGGCAGGAACGTAGCTCTGATACTAGCTGTTATGAATTATAACTCAGAGTATAGCGCAGAAACTATAGGGGAACGTGATTACAGATATATACATAATACTGAGGCCTAGGCAATATATAGGGCGAGTTGGCCAGGGTTGAATATCGAGGGTTGGACCAGTCAAGGGCTCAATAGTCCCGCGAGTGACGGGGTCAAACTGGGTTCGGGGCGACTCGGGATCAGGTTGGGGCTGAAAAGGTCGACGGGGGCTGGTTTGGCGCGAGAACCAAGGGCCGAGCCTGCGGACGCGAACAGTTCGCGTGTACTCGCTGTGGCGAGCCCCAGTAAGGAATCGTAATTCCTTACAACTTTGCTAATATGAACGCCAACTTTTTGTTTGCGGTTTACCGCAGCGCCACACTCCCTTAACACGAGAGGTGACTCCGCCTCCCTAGAATCTAAATGACTCCCAACCTATGGGAGAATCTGACCCCTCCCCGAAGCGCATTCCACGGACATCAGACTGGTGGCCAGTGAAACAACACCGGGGCAAGTGTGAGGGGTGTGACTGGTCCTTGACCAGAATCACGCAAGTACACACGATGCCCAACCTTATCGCAACTCAACCCAGTGCCATCAGCAAAACGTTGATGTCCCCCACTTGACCCGCCCAGACCACCATCCCACGATAGGACGAAAAGACACCATTGGGACATTTGGGGGATAAATTTCATTGCAAGTGACCTAACAGTCCCCTTGTCACTTTCTCGAAAGTACTCCAAACCTCTAGGACACCTCTGGACTACGTCGTATATAAGAGACGCAGGTTCAATTCCTGTTGGTGCAACCCTATGGCTTGCACTCGGCTTGTCGTCCTTATATGTGTGTGTGCATGCATGGCATGGAATGACTTGTGAGTCTATGTCATTGCTATCTAGTGCTTGTGTGTGTATTTGAATGGTGTATCACAATGTGGTTTGTGTCGGTCAAGACATTAGCGAGTTTTCACAACTCGCATGTTAAGTCGTCGTTTGCGCGTCGCATGTGCTTTCTCTATTTTGTCGAGTGTGATGTGTCCATCTCATCACAGGTGTGTGCAGCAAGCCCTTATCCTATCAAGAAGAATTGATCTTGCTGAACCAAGACCAAGAGCTCAAGATTTCAAGCCCAAGGGACGTGGACAAATATTAAAATAGTGAAAATAGTAATGCTACTTCAAGTAGTGTTACATTTCATTTGGTGTAGCCCCTTGTTGGGTTTGTTTCGAGTCTCCTCATAGTTGGGGACTCTGTGGTGGTGTACCACCAACTTGGACCTCGGCTCTTGGGGTATGTAGAGGCTGGG